TGCATGTATATGTACGTATGTATGTATGTATGTATGTATGTATGTATGTATGTATGTCGCGGTTTGTCTGGTGCAGCAACAATGAAAAAGCTCATTATTGCTACCGAATGGTACGGGTAATGTCACCATGGCTGTGGCTATGATGATGATGATGATGATGATGATGACTATGCTGATGACTACTGGCATGATGATGATCTTCCTTTCATTGCAACTCGTATTCCGATTATCGTTGTATGTCACTTCCGAAGTGGCATTCGACTGCTGTCACCGGTACTATTTCCTCTTGCCGTTATTGTTACTGTCATCATGGACCATGCGTGCTGCTGCGGCCGGTACTACTGCGACCCTAACCACCCTGCCCGTGGCACCGTGTCTCTCACGGCCCAAGCCTCCCCCAAAAGTCAACGCCCCACAGTGTTGCGTCGCTGGTTGGACAGCAGAAAACCTTATCCTTATTTAAATTGTTGATCCCAGTTTATTTTTGTGTTTATCCCAAAGTTGGTAATCTTGAGTATACTCTCCAGGAGTTTTGACATTTCATTTTTTCTTGATCCCTTTCTTGATTTGTTCTGATCCCAGACATTTAATTGTGTTTGGTCCTTTATAATTTCGTTGGACCCCTTAGCCGCATCGGAAGCTTGCCGGAAGCGCTGCATCGCCCCATCGCGGTGTGAGGCTGGTGTCATCGAGGCGCCGAGAAAGCCGCCGTGACGCAGTTGACACAAGGCAGTGCATCCAGTGCCTTTGCATCCTTTTTGATATTAGAGACTGTATGCCTCTAATGTTTCAAGCTTTACAATCGACTTAGTATCTGGGTATTGTGCCAGCGTAGATCACCAAAATTCCAGAAACAGTGAAAGACCACATACAGCCAATGCACCTTCGTGCACCCCAGAGCGCCCCCGCTCGCGCGGACGCGCGCACTTCCAACAGATGACAGGCGCACTGCGGCGCTGCAGTGCTGGTGCCATCGGCGCCTTTCTGCGGGCGCTGTCGACCCTAAGGGTTCCCGTCCCTGCCGAAAGGGTCGATGAGGCGCTGTCCGTGCTGTGGAGGCTGGCACCTCTGAAGAACTATGACAATGACAGTTTCTGCAAGGACAAGAGCAGGAATTGACAGAAATGCAAGACAGCAGGAACAGCGGATAACAGACAATAAGACTAGCATGAATAATTCAGCGGTACAGTATCACCAGGCCAAAGCAGCTTCCGCTGGCAGCCGCCGCCCCCCTGCTCCGCTCCATGTTCTTGCTGGACCGGGGTGTGCAGCGGTTATGAACGTAGGCTTTTGCCACTTGCAAGAAACACCCAGAGGTTGTCAGAACAGTGATTCGGATCTAGGGATTCGGAGGTCTGAGCGCTACAAGTGTGATGATTCCAGTTTGATGGTGGCTGGTGGTGCTGGTGGCGGCGGCGGCCTTTGCTGTTGCCGGTGCTGGTCTCGCCTGCCTTTACTACCAGTACTCGGGTTTATCTTCTTGCATCACAGTATTACTACCAGTGCAGGTCTCAGTATGTCACCACGTCAGGAGCCCTCCAATGCAAGAGAATCGGGCTTGAGTCAGCTTCTCAGATTTTTTACACCTGGCTTCAATGACTTCATTGGCTTGAGCTCGCCCAAGGGTATCAGTACGAACCGCTGCTCATCCATTTTGGCCTGCCTCCGCCTGCGTTTCGTTGCAGGACGTGTGCCTGGACTGCTCGGAAGAACCTTGGCACGGTTGATGCTGTTGCATTGACGGAAAGAGACTTCACTAGCTGACCTTGCTCGCCTGGACTCGCAAAGACGATCCTGTCTTGCCAGATGTCTTACGCGACTTTGTCTCGCCGGCCTTCACGGCGTGATTCTGAGAGATTGCGGCTGTCTCCCTGGCTGCCGATTGCCGTGTGATCAAGTTCATCTCAGGGCCAGGAGCCGCGGGCGAGCAGAATCCAAGCTGCCCTCTGTGATGTTGCCCCGTACCTACTGTACTCGGATCTCTTAGCCACGGAATTACGGGTGCGGAACAGCTGAGGCCTGGCTCCTTAAGCACAGGCGGCCGGGAGCGTTTTGACTGGGCTTTCGGCGTTCAGGGGTCCTCAAGTGGGAAGGTTGCATGGGAATGTGGCGACATTTTGTCAGTGCACCAAGAGCAGTCCCAGTTGGCAGTCTCAAGAGCACGATAAGATGGTATTAACCCGTCTGAGATCTTTGGCATCATGCCCCTGCCCTGTGCACCAGTTGTGACTGGCTGTCAGTCCGCCGCGCTGGTGGCACGTGAATCTATCTCCTCGAGAGGAGGCTGGGCACACTGGGGACCTGTGTGCTGCACTTCTTCATCGGTTATAGTACACTATACTATACTATACTATACTATACTATACTATACTATGTTACATTACATTTTGGTATAGTATTAGTTATAATTATGGTATATGGTATGGGGCATTAGGGGTACTGGGAGAGGCAGCGCTGGAGCTGGCATCGCACGTCGCATCTGCGCAGCCGGTGCTAGCGACTGCACCACACGCCCCGTCCCGAGAGCGTCCGAGGGCTCTGTCAATGGAGTACCTACCTATAGTCTCCGTTGTAGTTCCATTTTTTGGTTTAACCAGTTACATGTATTAAGGATCCTATAAGGTAACCCCCAAAAAGGAACTACAATGGAGACTATAGGTAGGAGTAGGAATGAAATAGGAACACTGTTTGCAGACAGGTGGAGGCCGAAGTTGCTGCTGCCTTCGCCCGTTTGGGGTGCAGGCACCTCGCAGAATCTTCACTGCTACGAGAGCAGTGAGCCTGAAAGTCAGACCGCGGAAGTGGCGAGCCAGAGAATAGCGATTCCCCCTCCCTGCCAGGCGGTGTTTCTGTTGCCAAGATTTGATGTCGTTCGCTGTGTCTCTGCATGCTGGGAATGACGCGCCGGCGAAACATAGACCCCAAAAACTATGGAAGCGGGGCAGGCCGTGGTTCGCGCACACGCTCAGGTTGGAGCATGGGCAGCAAGTCCAGCACATGTCGGATCCTTAACTGTATGAGCCAGCCAGCCCCGAGGCTGATTTACTAGAGTTGCGTCACTGATGCTGTTGGAGGCAGCTTCCCCTGAGCCTCCCGGATCTTGGAACCGTAGTGCTGTGTTTGCAGCCGGCCGGGATGCTGCAGGACGGGCTGCGTCGCTCAAAGCTGCCTTTGTTGCCTGTCCATCTTGTCAGGACCTGGAGGAAGGCTGGGCGACTTCCTGGAGTGATGCTGCTGGCGTAGTTGTGCAATGTTAGTGCTGTGCCCAAGTGTGTCGGAGGAACCACCTTCATGCACCCTCTCGTGGACTTGCAGAGGCCCCCTGCTTGGCTCCTTGCGAGCTCGGTATGAATGGAACAGTGCTTCTTGCTTTGCAGGCGCCAACTGGAGCAGACCTCCTGGCAAGTTGACAGGCTGATGGAGTGGCGGCCCTCGCTTTTGCTTGTGAAATGCCAGGCTGGGCTGGCGAGTGGAAGTGATCCTGGAGTCCGAGTGGCCGAGCGCCACGGCGGCCGGAGCGGATCAGGTCGGTCTCAGAGCTCCGAAGATATTTCCGTGAGCTCTCTTTGTGGTTTCGGGTTGGCCCTAAACAAGAAGAGTTTAGAGGTTAATCGAAGAATCGGCAAGAGCATCCTAGGACCTAGGAGCAATGGACTGCACGCCACGAAGCCGGCCGATGCATCTTGCGGCAGGTGCTGCAACGGCAGCAAGAGGTTCTACTTCGAAGAAAGCTCGCTTGCCTCTGAGACACTGTCTTGCCTCACCATGCATTTGCTGCCTAATACCAGTTGCAGCGGTGGTCTCAGGCACAGGCCTTACAGGCTGGTGTTCCAGCAAGACGGAGAAGACGTTCTCACGACGCCGAGAGTCCTAAAACAGTTTTGGTCTGTGTATGTCTGCATGTCGTTGTGCACAAGCTTCGTGCCTAGTTCCATGCGCCCGAGGTCAAAGAGCAAGTGCACGGCATGACTGTCGAAAATGTCGCGTTCACGTTGCAATGACCTGCTGCGCACTGCATTGCATTCACAGGTTAGGCAAGCAGGCAGTTCGATGGAATGACTAAGTCACGGAGCTATCCGGGTCCTCAATCCTGAGCCAGGTTCTGCGCTGACACACTTTGTCCAGGCCAACTTGGGTGCGGGTCCCAGCGATGTAGCAGAGTGCAGACTTTCCACACCGTCTCTGCTCCATCTGAGGTCAAGAGTTTGTCGAGCAAAGTCCCTTTGACATGAGCCAAGTCTACGAGGATGTTGAGTGTTCAGTGATTTATTGCCGTTGGTACAGGTAGCCTCATTAACCACATTTTAGTCATATTGCTACTAGCCCTACCGGAAGTAGCAGTTAGCAGTGGTAGTAGTGCTTGATGGAGTAGGTTGTAGGACGATCCCGTGCTGGAGAGGTTCCTCTAAGTTGGGGTTTAGGATGATCCCAGGAAGGTTTCGAGTTTGACATGTGTAGTGCCTGGGTGAATTCTAGTAGTAGTGGCGGTAGTAGCACCAGTGGTCGTCGTCGTCTTGGTAGTCGTAGTCGTAGTGGTAGTGGTATGATAGGTGGTGCTGGTCGTGGTCGTGGTCGTGGTCGTGGTCGTGGTGGTGGTGGTGGTGGTGGTGGTGGTCATGGTGGTGGTGGTGGTGGTGGTGGTGGTGGTGGTGATGGTGGTGGTCGTGGTCGTGGTCGTGGTCGTGGTAGTAGGGGCAGAAGTAGTAGTAGCAGTAGTAGCAATAGTATCAGTAGTAGCAGTAGTAGCAGTAGCAGTAGTAGTAGCAGCAGCAGCAGTAGTAGTGGCAGTGGTAGTTGCAGTAGTCGTGGTAGTGGTGTCGTCGACGACCGTCGGGGTAGCTGCAGCAGTAGCAGTAGCAGTAGCAGTAACATGAGCGCTGGTGTTGTAGCAGAAACATCAGAAATGATAGAGTCAACAGGTTGTATGACTCGGCATGTTTTACGGTGAACGAGCGAGGCTCGCAGAACTTTGGCTGAGGTGGATGTCCCGAGCCCTTGTCTCGTCGTCGGCTGGTCTGTCGGTCACCTCTCTTTTGCTCCACTTGTCTCGTCTCTTTGAGAACGATCCTCCCTTCCTCGACTGTCCGATCTGCCCTGCTTCACCTTTGGACTTCCTCGACTTACCTCCTTGGAAAATCCACGTCCCGTCTGTGCTGCTCGGGCTGGTCATTGGACTTTTCTTGCTTCCAGCCCTCGAGCTGTTCCTGTGCCTACGTGGGTTGGTCTTAGTTCGGTTGGATAGATATATTAGGCCGCCCTTTCGGTATAGGATCTTAAGCGGGTGACCCGTGCATGAGCCTGGAGCTCCGGGTGCAGCATCTTGAGGAGTTGGTGGTGGAGCTTCGTGAACAGGTCCGTGTGCTGCAAGCGCGCCTTGACGAGGCGAGCAGTCCTTCTTCCTTTGACCTCGTGCAGCAGCCCGCCGCGGCAGCTTCCCCAACCCCTACGGTTGCTAGGTCCTCCGGTAGCCCCTTAGACCCTAAAGCCTCGAGCCCGGCCGCTTCAGCACCCTGCCTCACCGCTTGGAATCCAGGCCCTTCCCCGCCTTCGCTCGACCGAGGAGTTGTGCCAGTTTCAGCTGCCGAGAGAGCAGCCGCGTGCAGAGAGATTGGGCTCTTCCTTCGCCGATCTCTCGACGGCGCTCACCGAGGCGCGTCAGGGAGGGACAGGCTAGGTTTGCAGTCCAGGTATTGGATTGTTGTGCGAGATTTCAGCGGACAAGTGCTATCGCCCATCAGGGTGTGCCGTAGTTTCGCAGAGTGCTCCGCCCTTTGCAAGAGGGGCCCCAACTGTGGTGAGTCAATCTTCGTCGGGCTCCCTGCCCGCCAGGACATTATAAGTGTGTGTGCCGCTGCCAACCTCATCTTGCCAGACAGCTGGTGAGATGGAGGAGGAAGGCGATTTGCTGGACGGCGAGGCCCTTACCGCCCGAGATTGCGCGTGCGTGGGCGAAGGATTCTTGGATCCCCTCGCTCCTCTGTGTGTTTTGGCTTGCGGTGAGGACGAAGAAGGTTTGCCCGTGACCGTACACTACTTGGTCGCAGGCGACGTGCAAGGCAAATTGCTGATATGCCTACCGGCTGCTGCCTGGCACCGGAAGGTTGCAAAGCGTACCGTGCCGCGAGGTTTTCTCAGCAAGGTTATAGCAGCCGAAGTGGCCTCGGCTTCTATCGCCGACCGTGGTTCCGAAATTGCCGGCCAGGTGGTTCGGGTTTGGATGGGGTTTTGCGAAGGCGAGGCAGAGAGGTCGATTCAGGTGAGCGACGCCACGCCCTCGGTTCCATTCGGCGTCCTTCCCAATGGAGAGCTCCTTGTGCCCTTTGTGGAAGCTGTGGCTCTTTTGTGGCAACGTCAAGTTGCCGGGGCCTTGTCCACTCCCGTGCAAACGGCCAACGAGGGCCCCGATGCTCAAGCAAGCTTGTCCGCTCGCATGGCGCAACTCGAGCGTACGCTGGCTGCTCTTGGAGGTTCTGCTGCCGCCGAGCCAAGGGCTTCTGCGGGGCCGAAGCAAGCAGCCCGATCGAAAGCCGGGTCGCCCGCAGCTTTGCTTCCTCGTGCTCTTTTGGCCCAGCCTCAAGGTCACAGTGCCTCAGGGGCCGAAGCCTTTCCCGGCTTGGACCAAAGTGTGGTTACGGCTGCCCTGGCTTCAGGAGTCGAGCCGCACGTGTTGGGCGAGATGAGCCGTCTTGTCGAGGCCCGTCCCTTGGGCCGGCTGAAGGCCGAGCCGGCCCGCCCTCCGGCGACACAGCGCCGTTCTCCACTAGACGAGTGCGAGGACGAAGGCGACACTGCGGCTCCTTTGGCTGCTCTCGAGCAAGCAGCCCCCAACTTAGGAGCAGGACAACCTCAAGAACCAGCCGAGGCCTTTGCTCAGGCGATGGTCAGGTGCCTCGATGCCCTTCAGTCAAGGTTTGGGTCAAGCAAGCTGACCACACTGGACCGGGCACTCGCTGCCACAGGCGCTGGCTCTCTCGACGGCTCCCTGAACTCGGGAAGGAGGAACGCTGCAGCTCGAAAGGCCCTTCGGGATTCTCTTTTCACGTCCCCACAGGAGATAAGCAATCTCATAGAAACCTTGATGGCAGAGGACCTCAGCGCGAGCACACCCGGCGCTGGGTCGCCCGTCCTTACCTCAACGCGTGGCTGGCTAGAGCACCGAAGCCGGGTGCAAGCCTTTCCCACGATGGTTCACCTCACGTGGGCTATCGCTGGAGTGCATCAGGTCGGGAAAGCCCGAGCAGGCGAGAGCAAGGTTGAACATAGCCCTGCTGCAGGCCGACCAGTGCTCCATAGACCGAGGGAGCTGGCTTTTGGCTCAGGAGCTAAGTCTCGAGTTAGGCCCGCCGATGAGCAGCTTCCGCAAGCACGAAAACTCAAGCTCGTCGGGCGACCCTGCTTACAGCCGGCTGCTGGACCCCAGGTGGGCCGAGCTAGCCCTTTCGAAGTTGCGTGAGGAGGCCGAGTTCACAGACAGGCGGCAGAAGCTAGCTCAGCGCACCTCCGGGCCCAGCAAAGACCAGCCCGACCCGACAGCCGAGACGGAGCGCCCTCCTCGAAGACCCCCGCGCCGTCCGCAGCCAAAGGCCGATGCATGAACAACGTTGCACCGCGGCGGGCGCCGGGCTCCGAAGTGCCGTGTTTGTCGTTGCCAGCTTTGTGGAATTCATTGCCGCGAGCCCTTTGCCGATGCTCCGGCGCTTTTGCTTCCTTTCTGCGTGCTGCGCACCGTTTGGAGCCAAACCGTGCTCCCACGCCGTTCACCTGGCCCTGTCCGATGCCTTACCCGGAGGCTGTGGAAGGAAATTTTCCTGGTCTTTGGAAGAAGCGGTTGATAAATCTCTCGGTGGCCCGTTTGTCCTATGAACATTTGGGCTGCCCTTCTTCGTGCCCGGCTTCAATCCGCCTTGGGGTGCCCCTCAACCGCAAGCAGTGGCAGCAGGTCAAGAGCATAGAGCATTTGGTGTTCGGCAGTTTTTGCCCAATGTCTTTTGAGCCTCAGGATTACGGACGTATAGGACACAAGGTGGAAGGCCAGGCTAAGAC